TGTGCATCAACCCCCACACCACGTTCCCCCTCCACCTTCACCCCTTGCAACCAGGCAGACGTCCCTGTCAAACTGCTCCTGTCACGTCACCTCTCAGCTCTCGCCTGAGCAGCCAACCCTGTGAACCAGCTCGCGCAGCCCGTCGGGGTTAGAAATGTCACCTTTCAGCTGTGCCAGCACCATCAAAGGTGCTGGGGGGCGGCGGAGGGGGGCAGCAGAGGGTGGGTAAAGCTGCCACCGCTACCTAAAGAACCGCTTGTTAAAACCACAGCCTAAGGTCAGGGCGTCAGGACTCGCAGCATTTGCAGCCAAGACTGACTCAGGGTAACCCTGTCCCCTCGACCTGCTGCACCACCGCCCGCTGCACTGACAGCCAGCCCATGGAGCCACGCTGCAGACATGGCAGGGAGCTGAGCCGGCCTAAAAATCCATCGGCCGGGAGCTTTCTCAAGCCGGATCTGCTTCTCAGTTGTTTGTAGCCCCACATCAGCTACGCCAGCAAAACTCTGAGGTATGTGCAAGGCTGCACAGGCCTAGAAGGGAGCAGGCAGTGTATTTTAAAGCAGGAATATCATCGGACACTTTGCAGTCTGAACCAATAGCCTGGGTAATTCGCATTACCTCGCGCTTCATAGGCTGAATTTGCTCTGAAGATTTGTCCTTCTGTGGCCAAAAAATAAGCAAGAGCCCTGCAGCCCTCTGCAAACCCACCACAGAGGTTAGGGCTCCAGATGCTGGACCAGCGAGTGGGACATGAGCTCTGACAGGCTTTTTTGCAGGCAGGGTTTTGAGCACCGTGTTATTAAGCCTGCCTGACACTAGTCACTCATAAGACCCTTTTTCCAGTTGGCTCAGACTTCAACTATCGGTGCTGAAGTTTCCATGCCGGGTGTCTGTCTTAGCCCGAATTCTTCCGGAAATCTTTAGCCAAAACAGTTCGGCTACTTGTGAGAAGGAGGCTAGGAAACAAGATAGAGGCTTACCCTTGTTAGAAAAAACCACTTACAACCTTTTCCTTGAGCTAATCTAGCAACTGCAAATCCTGGAAAGGGGAGCTGAGATTTTGCTGCAGAATAACCTTTTTAACAGAGAGTTTTCCTGTCCTACTAGAAATCTGTCCACACTTGGCCAAGCTATAAACATCTGAAATACAGCAGTTTTTCCATA